TTTTATTATTATTTCTATTTGATTGAGAAAGAATAGATGATACATTATAAAAATTATATTTATTAATTGTATGTAAAACATGATTACCATTTGATGATGATTTTTGAATAGACGATGATATTTGATTTTCTTCACTATTAATAATTAAATTAATTAATTAGTCAACAATTCAAAATATTTAAATACACTATATATAATCAATATAATCATACTTACTCATTTACAAATCTGCCAGAATTAGTAATAAAATTAATTGATAAAATTCCAGTTAACTCAAGTCATTCAAGTGACATGCGTGTAGATCACAAAACTCAAGTCACTTGACTGAGGATATATTTACCTAAGTGTGATGTGTGGATTGCAAAATTCAAGTCATTCGTAAATCGAAAAACTCAAATAATTTTTTTGAGTTTTTTGGATCTTTGAGTTGGTTGTACCATTACGTTATTCGCATCATAGTAAAGGATATTGTTGCCAAATTTAGGGGATTCTAAAGCAGTGTCTATCACGAGATTACAGAATTAATTAATATTAGAGTGAGGGCTGGGGTTTAAGTAAATATTATATGTAAAATTGTATTTTCACTTTTTTTCTTCGTCGGGCTGATCCGTATAAACAAAAGTTCACAATTTTGATTGGCCATAGCCAACGGAAATTCTCGTGATGGACACTGCTTTAGACAACTCCCGAATTTAGAATGAAAATCATACGATCAGGATCACGTTGATAATCGTGCGATATTGAGACGGCACGAAAATAGCCGGAGTCACGGGGGATGATATGTGTCACTATTTGGATGAATTATCCTTGTGTCATCCATCATCCAGGATAACTGTTTATTCATCCTGGCACAAAAACGTTTTTATGGATGACAGAGGATGAAGGTAAACAAGGAGAAAAATTATAAAATAGCTGTGGTGGGGAAGAAAGAAGAGAGATTCCCTTCTCGCGAAAACATTCTTTTATTTTCATACATACTTGAGATCAATAAATCATTTTCTTAATAATCTTAGTAATAGTGAAACAATTTTTAATAGTAAATAATTTCTGTAATAATTAATAGTAATAAAATAATTTCGTATAGCGGATACGCCAACGCAATAATATATCTCTATTGTTGTATTTTTGTAATATTTTTCTTTAATAAACCGCTTTATATTTGGCGATTTCTATTTTTCTTATACAATAATTTAGTGTAGTGGGAAAACATAGTGGTAAGATGCGCCAAAGCAGTAATATATCGCTATTGTCATACTTCTACGCTAAGCCTTAATAAATTTTAAATAAACTATTTTATATTTCTTGGCAAAGTTACATCAAAAAGTCTATTTCAAGTTTGGTAGTGTGCAAGCAGTAATAAAGATACTTTTACTCCACTTGCTCATCGTACCTTCAGATATTACACGTAATTGCATTGTTCGAGAGTTTTAGTAAGCAGGTTTAGATCGACTGATTGCCTGATCTTACTGAGTTTTGTGATATTGTGCACGAGAGAAAGTGCGTCAGTGATACATTGAATTATCGTGTGATTATCCTAAATTTATTAAGACTAATTTGCGTAACTTTCCACACTGTTCTGCGCAGACCGCGACAATAATAAAATTAATTCTCTCAAATTATTTTTATATATTTGATAGCACTATATGAGCTCTGTCCTTTTTGCAAAATTTGAAAGCTCGATATTTAAAATTGAAAAAAAGAATATAATATCATATTGGCCCACTTGACATCTGAGAAAACAAAAATAATAATTATTTATTTAAATAAACCAATATTTTAAAATAAAAATTTTTAGAGTTTCAAACTTAAAAGTATATTTCTATTATATTTTTAAATATTTATATTTCATGTTATAGTTGTTTAAAATAATCTATTAAATAATAAATGCAAAACCTCGAAATCTTGAAATCTATATACCATACTGTAAGTTCAGAAAAAAATCACATTTTATATCCTAAAAAATGTATAATATTTATTTTCTATTATAATTTGTAAAATCATAATAAACAATATATACATCTTTAGGATAGGATTATTCCATTAGAGAAATTAGAAAATCTTATTATTTTTTGACTCTTAATTGATGAATTAGTTGCTTTATAGTTAAGGTAAACTTTGCTCCTAATGGATCAATCTGTTTAATAATATTTCCTCGAAATATCTTAACTAAAACACTTCTAACTACAAATAATCCATTTTTTAAAGTTTCCAAAAGTAATAGTTTACATTAATAGCTTTGGATTATTTAAAATAAAAATAGCAAATTTTTCTTATATTTTTTTTTTAAATAAATAATTCAAAGCAACTAATAATCAAAATTTTAAAGTTCATTCACATATTTTACAATCCCGTACTATTTATTTTAAAAAGAAATTCAACGAAAATCTTTGGATGACTACGACGTCAAAGTACTATTAAAAAAATTAATTCTTAATAATAATAATAAATTTCATACATTATTTAGATACATCTACGATGGATAATTTCATTAGAAAAATTATAATTTTGACCACTTAATTATATTTAATGAAACATCTCAAAACTATCTTGTCAATAACTGCGCTTCTCCAAAAATTCTTGTAATGATATTTTTTCAATATGGAAAATTTCTTACCCTTCCTGAAGATACATTAGTTCTTAAAAGAGATGGCTTGCAATTAGAGGAAAGTCAAATCTGGAAAGTAATCATTTCTTTGATATCAAATATAAATTATCATAATATATTATTATAAATTATTATAAATTATTATAATTTAATTTTATTATTATATATCTTTATATTCCTTTTTTATAAATATAATTTATAATAAAGAAATGTTCATATAATAATTAATACAAATTCCAAGAATATATTAAAAAACAAAAATACAATAATATCATCATTACTTTTTTCTATTATTATAAGAAACATTTAAAATATAATGTTTGTAAATTTACCATGTGCTTTTTTCTTTTGATAATAATTTTACCTTAATCAAATATATTAAATATTTTATAATTTTAGGTGATCTGTATAATAAAAATATTGCAAATGAAGTTCTGGTGATGATTGCAATTATTATAGATTTTTGTACAGCTTTATGAAAATCATTCCAGCCACTCGCCCATTTTGTCCTTTTAAATTTTGTAAAATTTGAAAGAAATTAGATTTAAAATGTTACTTTAAATATAACAATAACGACCAATAAAAATATTATTATATAAATAAATAAATTAATAAATTAATAAATGTAAAACCAACCTTCTATTAGCGAGATCAGTTAGATATCTTCTATAACAAACACGATTATTTTTTAGAAATAACCAAATAAAAAAATTTACATCCCAATAATCAAATTTTGGTCGAGAAGCATCTAGTCTTCTGGGAGGTTCTTCATCAAGTCTATACATCATATCCATTAAATCACTTGTCATTTGTAATGTTAAACCCCAAAGTCTTAATGTTGTATTATGAAATTCTGGTGGTGGCGGTAGAGATGATGATGATGATGATGAAATCATTTTTTCTGGATCTAATTCAGCTGATGTTGCTGATTTTATCATTAACAAACCATCCGAAGATTTTTCAGGCAATTTTTCAGATGACATTTCTAAAGATTGTGTTGTTTCTGTCGTTGTTAAATTCGATTGAGGTAAATCGATACAATGAAAATGCATCCGACCTATCAATGTTTTTAAAATATTTTGAAGTATCCAAGATTGTGGCGCAAGACGAGGTGATAAATCAATTGAAATCGGATTAAATTTTTGAGAAAGTTTGGGATCAAAAAAAACTGATATTGGAATCCAATGTGTCGATGCAACTTCTGATCCCGATATTTCTATTTTTGGTGATTCTCGGGTTAATTGTATAAAAACTGAATATTAATAAAATTATTAAAAATTACTAAAATGATTAAAATCGTAAATAAAATGATCAAAACGAAAAAAAAAAACTCAAATATATATATCGGAGAAAAATTTATTATTTACTAAATTCGATAAAATTTTGAAAAAAAGAAATTCTATTACCAAAAGGGCATAATACCATCAATAAAGTTTTTCCAAATGTTGTAGTGACTTCAAGATCATCCAATGCTCCAACATTCATAAATAATTCATTATTACCAAGATCAAATCCAACTTATGACGATCAAAGATTATTATTAAATAAAAATATTTTCGAAATTATAAATTATTCAATTATTAAAAAAAAAAATTAAAATTCATTTACCTTCTTCAAAAGTTTCTCTTTCCGCTGTATCCAAATCATCCGCATCTTCTGGATCTTGCTTTCCACCCGGGAACGCCATTTGACCACTCCAACGATCTCCTTCTCTTAATGCACGTTGAATATATAGAATTTCCGGTATTCCATCATTTACCCAGGGTAATGTCCAAAAATCATCTATACTTCTAATGTTATTTTTAAAAGAAGATAATTCTTCATCATTATTATTAATATTTTTTTCTTCATTATAATGGCAATTATTTTTAGAAAAAGGTCTAATCCTAATTATTATTGCTACACTTGCTCTACGTTTTTGATGTGGTGGAGAGGGTAATTTGTGGGCAGGAATTCTTTCAAGATTTGATAATGCAATTCGCAAACGATCTAGTACCGTTAATGCTACAAAATGAACGGGGTAAAATAGAAAAAAATTATTCATTACATTCCATTATTATTATTATTATTATTATTATTATTATTATTATTATTATTATTATTATTATTATTATTATTATTATTA